ACTAACTTTATATGGCCGTCGGTACAAAAGTAAAAGAGTAATTCACAGAGTGTTAAAATTCCACACAGCTATCATAATACCAGATTATAACACACGTGCTCCTAAATGCTAAATTAAATATAACCCCATTTAAATTGATTGGGCAAACGTCCATTTCGAAGGAATTTGAGGTACAATCGAAAATCAACCAAAATGTGATATTCTACTAACATACAAGTTGAAGGCCAAATGGAACTGTCTAGGCATAACGGCTATGCGATTTACCGAGGAAAAAATGGAATATGGCTCATTGTGATGAGTACATTACGGGGAACCATCTACGTCGCAATGTTAGCCTTTATGTACATGCGGATGTAGATAGATACATATAGCCAACGCTGGCCAATCATGGGATTTATCTCACGAATCCAAGCATTAGTAAAGACATTTTGTTCTCTTGTACAATTATTGACAACAGTGAATGAACGTATTGTGGTCTGAGTCGGAGAAACGACTCAACAGGTGGAGAGTCCTCGCCCAGTCAAACCAAAGAATCCTAACTTTTTGTCCTTTCTCCTTAACTGAATTACACTTAAAATTTTGCTCTTGTACTGATGACCATGCAGCTTTAGTTTGCCAACCATTGGGATGGAAAAGCTACGACTATTACTAGGATCCCCTTCTAGTTACACACAGACCTCGGGGCGCATACACGTGCAATGAACCTATTACCAGTCCGTGTGTTTATAATATCGACCATATAATTACGTATTCTAACACTCCATCCTCGAAACGTTCTATCTTGTTCAAATTATCTCACTGATCCAGAATATTATTTACAGATGCATATTTGCATTAGAGTAGCGTTTTACGCACGAACGTGCGACAATTTGCTCTTGAATATAACTGTTTGTCCTCCTAATTAACAAACATACCAAATTACTGTCACTCTGTTAGAACAAAGTATATCATTCAGTTGAAAACTCGTCAATTTTTACGCTCATCTCCATTAACCACGCTAAAACGCAATAGAAAACTTCACCCCACATCTCGTTAACTCCATGGTGACCAATCTATCAACAAAAGTTCCTACTATCAAAGGGCAGCGTTGAAGTACATGTAACTCTCATAATCAGCAACGCTGAAAAGATGGATCTTTTCATTGCTATCCAGTGGTTCTCTTTTCATATGTAAAATTGGTTAGACATCGCATATTCAGTCAGACTTCCTATTCAAATATTAGCCACAGCATGCATCTATGTTATACCATATTCTCTAGCTAAACGCATGTATTTGTTTACAAAATATTATTGTATTGGATTGCATGTAAGTACATGTATACTGAGTATTAATTGTGGCAAATTTCATGCTACAGAGCCCTAGTGGGATATTCAGAGGCTTAAACAAATTTATCAAGTCAGCGCAGTAAGATAGTAGTGAGTCACTTTTCAGATAGCCTGTTCTGGATCTGAGTTTAACTTAATGTGCCAAACAGTGTTGTAGTCGAGTACTTTCCGAGTATCAACGTTCTCCGCAAAATACTGAACTGGGTAAGAGGGAATAAAGCCAGAGTGCACAGGCATTTGATGGTAAATGTACAAAGGTAAGATTACAAAAAAAATGTTAGACTTCAGACACTCCCAGTTGTGTAAAATTTAAGTTTTAAGGAGAAAAGCACTCAGAAAGTACTCGGCCGAGTACTTTCTGAGTACTTTTGTCCTAAAAAGTTAATTTTAATCAAACAGTGAAGGTCCGAAGTCATTATGTTGCTTTGCAATCTTACCTTTATGCATGTACCATCAAATGCCAATGTACTTCAGCTTTGTTCCCTCCTAACTAGTTAAATATTTGGTAGAGAACTTGGTTCTCAAAAAGTACTCGACTACATCACTGGTGCCAAAATGGCCCATTGTGGAAGTTGTGTGCTCAGTGCTACAATTATAAATACTTTGAAGACTTTAAATCGAAAGCGAATATTGAATTCAACTGGAAGAAGCTATACAATTGGAATTATCAAATGGATAATATATTGTTCTTAATATATCTGCTTTGTTTATTTACTATACATTGTATGAAATAAGTTAAAAGGTTCATTTTCTGCATTTTGTCTTTCGCGATCTGTCTTGGGTTGTTGTTTCTCTCTCTCTCTCTTTTACTATTCCTTCAGCTTATCGGTGGACACATACATTGGTTTGTCCACGTTATAGGATTTGTTTATTTCCTTCTGCAGTGCTACATTTTCAACACTGTCCATTGTTTTTCGATGTTCTTTGTGACCCTTTCATCCTTATGCATTGTCCTGATGCATTTTGGCTTTTTTTTTCAGAGTCAACGTACTTATTAGCATGCATTTTGTTTTCCTCGTCAGTTGGAATTTCATTTTGCGGCCATTACGCACTCTATAGAGCCTGAAGGTTGACCCCTGATGGCGCGCTTCCGGAACCCTTGGATGGGAAAAATAACACGCAGAGATTGTAGAATTTGTAATATTTGTTCTTTCAGTTTCTTCTTAAAAAATGCAACTTGGAAAAAGGGCTTTGAAAAATATTTGCTAGGATATCAATGTATAGAAACTGAAAAATTACCTGACCTAAAAGAGAAATACCCTGCAAAAATTAGGCCCATCACTTCCGAAAATCTAAAATACATGAAGAACAGTGCAATACGGCAATCTCGTACGCAGATGAATATTTATGGTTTGAAATTTTACGGTAGTCTGTGGGTAAATACCAAAATAAAGCAGATCAAAATATTTTACACATTTTGATAATTTCTAAGGTAATAAATATAAAGCAATGTTTTACTTGTACGAAAGATTCTAATATTTTATTTAACCTTTGCTAGCAATAACTGCGTGATGTCAACTCAACGGAATCTGGAAACCATCGACTGCAGGTAGGTAAATCTTGGCAAGGTTTTACAATCTCGTTTTCAAGAAAGCATGGCGAGTGAGAACAAACGTACATGAACAAGGAGACCAAGGTACGATACCGCCGGACGTGAAAGGTCGTTAATAAAGTTCGGTTTTTTTACCCATCTCCAGGTGACTTTTCCACGATATTACTTGAGGAAGACAAAAGTAAAATTCCAACTTGAGGGTTTCATGGGGTGGTTTCAGTAAGGAATTATTTTTCCAAAACGTATCGAACGTGATAGGACGGCCCAATGTAAAATCCCAGAGGCGGACCGCGGAAAGGTTCCGGAAGCTTGCTGCGTGACCTTTTACTTTCAGGCTCTATTGCGCTTGAAATGCTTCGTACCCACTGCTACTGCGTCAAATTTCTTGATTGTCCGCATTGTCAGAACATTGCACAATTCTCTCCCTTCCATCAAAAATAAGTGGACAGATTGTATACCTGTCCCCCTCAAAAAAAAGAAAAAGCGGACTTCCAATTATAACATTGTGAATGATTACAGAAGTAACTACATTCATGCTTCTCCGAAATTCACTACAGAAAAGGGTTAAAAATTTACAATGGCTTGCAGACGTCTTTCTAGTCGTCCATGAGAATCGCACCAGTTGTTTTCGTCAGTGAAAAAATTTGCAACCATTTTGCAATTTTAAGACTGATACAGCACTACAATAAACTTACCGTGTTGTTTCCTCATACAGCGGATATTTCTAAATGCTTCAGTACAAGTTAGCATGTGTTGGTACAGTTTTACGATAGGCGTATTCTGCTAGCGAGACTGAGTACCACTCAACGATCATTTGGGGGTCGGTCTTCGCTCTTGGCAAGCCTTACTTGATTTTAAAAAACGATATGTTTATATTCAATCAAAACAGCTGGATATCTCAACAGCTGAAAGTAACTTGACACTTTTGCATTCTGACTGGAATGACGCTTCTTGTTGATTCCGCATAATGACATTGATTTGGATTCACACAAACTGAGACGTACAAATTTTCTTACGTCTGTCAATATGCACAGCTGGCACAAAGGCACTGCATGAATCCGTGTGAATAGTTCAGCACAATATGGGTACTGGATCGATCTTCACTAAAATGAAATAT